CCGCAACCCACCCCTGCACCGGCCGTAATTCTCGTTCCCGCCACCTCTAGTGTCGCCCAGGAGTGCAATCTACGTGACCAGTGGTTACGCCGTTGCTGGATTACACTGGTGCGTCCTGCCACTTTGCCAGCAACGCTGCCGTGTTAAAAAAGAACAAAGTATGTACAGATCTGGGGCAAATCAGCTTCGCTTTTTTTTCATAAGAGTTTTACTGCCCTTGTAACACAATTAAGTTTCGAAGATTAGTGGTTTTACAACAGAGTAACAAACAAATAAACAGAAGGACAAAAAAGTAATCAAGGAGAAGGGGGGAGGACGATAGATGTTTTATAGGACAGAAGGAGCAAACCGCACCAGAGCACCCATCAATTACCTACGCAACTAGAAAAAAAGTTAAAATTATTTGAATAAAAATATCCATATCTCAGTACCTTAATTTTTGAAAGCCCTACAAATACATGTTATTCCTATAACGTTCTACTAAAATCATAAACAGATATAACAATATTATCGAGACAAGACAATTGGAAATGAAGTTACTGTCCTGGTTGCTATTTCTGCTTTGTTACTGTTCGTGGCGGTATTGTTATAGCTGTTTTACCTTTATTATTGCCATAAAAGTGGCGTTGATATTACAGTTGTTCAACCCCATCTCTACGCCCTGGGGTAATTTTGTACCCTCGGGGTTGTATTCTTCACATTTTAAAATACTTCTAGTACGAATTAAGATCTCTTTGAAACTTTCAGTATTTCTCAAAAAATCATTTTGACAGACTGCTATGCCATGCGTAAGGATCGGATTAACGAGTACATTTCCTCTTTGGAGAGTGGTGGCACAGAGTTTCGTATGAATACAAAAAGAAAAATGTGAGGTTTACTTCAGTTTGCGACAAGGCATGGTTTTGTTAGATGCTAGGTTTTCAATTCAAAAGCACTGAGAAGTAAAGTAGTTGAACAGCGTAGGCAGTGTCGATATTGGAGAAAGTCGGGAGCACAATCGAACTATCGTAGGCTTAGTTAATGCTCATAATCCTTACCTAGGTGCCGTCTTTCAATGTGCATAAAGGGGTAACGGGTGTGTGTGATTTCTTTGTGTGTGTGTGTGTGTGAGGGGGGGGGTGTTAAATATGTCTGTATATATATATATATGTGTGTGTGTGTGTGTGTGTGTGTGTGT